TAGCGAGGGCACTTGCTGAAGACTTGCTGCATTGTCTCCTCGCTCAGTTGAGGAGGAGAGGTTGAGGAAAGGAAAAGACGCAACTTGTGCACGCAGTCTTAATTGGGGAGCACGGCTGAGCGCCCACGCGCCGTAGTTTTCACAAAAATAATTTCCAGCTCCTTCGATTCGAAAGCCAAATGATTTCGATGGAAGGCAGGGCTCTCATGCACAAACTGCAAATCAGAGTAACATTTTTTCCGCGGAGGTGTTGGTACTCTCGGCCCTGCTGCACGAGCTATGTCAATACTGGTGAAGATGATAGCGTAGATCAGGTGTAAAACGCAAACATAGTTGGCTAATATTTCAGACGAGGTGTGAATTGAAAGGTCGACAGGATATAGATAACAACTGATACCCATGTCACATCATCAGCCTTACTAAGTCCACTGCAGGGCAAAGGCCTATCTCATGCTCTGCCCACCAACTTGGTCTTGTGTTTTTTGTTGCCTCGTTATACCTGCAAACTTTTCTTGCGATAGCAAATTATGTCGACACTCTCGGCTGGATTTGACCCCCGGCGTGGGCGCCGCCTTCACTCACCGTATGTGTACGTATCTATATACATATGAAAACGCAAGAAACAAATAATCCTGAAAAAGACTCCGGCACGCGGAATCGAACGTGGGACCTATGAAACGTGAGTGTGAGGTGTTAACCACTGAGTCCCGGAGGAACATGTCCTGCAACGTTCAAACAGCAAGCTATTTATATCTACCACTTACCGCTAGTGACGGCCATATCAAGTGTGAATTATCATGTTTTCAACATTGCCAGCAAGATGGTGCAATGAGCGTGAGTCGCCACATCGTCACGACGCGGTGGCGCGCGCTCTCACTTTCCATGCGTACTTTGCCCCGCGGAGTGGAGAGGGTGAACGCTCACTCGCGCGCCCTTATCTCTCGGTGGGGAGTATCGTACGTCTTGGCTGGCCTAGGGCTTTCGCCGGAATGATTCTGATGTAGTTACCGGGCGCACAAAGGTTGCTGCAATTTTACAGTCTGCGAAAAGAGCACGCTTTAGCGAAGTAACAACTGAGACGCTTATTCCCCTTCATATGTACCTGCGAATACGTTTCGTGCCTAATTTGTGCGAGCGAAATGCTGGGCACGTTTAAATCTTGCCATTCTGCGCGTGACCTTCCAATTTGTTGTTATCGCGTTCATTGCTTCGCCTTTGCGGCAAAGCTGTGAATTTTTTTCATGTCATCAGCTTTCTGTTTCCCCCTCGTACGTTTTCCTTTTCTGTGAATCCAGTCAGTTACCCTTTATGACCAACGGTTATCCTGCCTACGTGCCCGGTCCATGTCCATTTATTCTTGATTTCAACTATGAGAGCCTTAACCCTGGTTTGTTTCCTTGCTCACCCTTCCCTTTTGTCTCGTAAGGTTACACCTATCATTTTTCTTTCCATCACTCGCTGCGTCCTCTTCAGTTTAAGCTGAACCATCTTTGTTTGCCTCTAGCTTTATGCTCCGTAGGTAAGTACCGGCAAGATGCAGCTGTTATATACCTTTCTCTTGAGGATTAGTGGCAATCTACCTGTCAAAATTTGAGAGTGTTTGCCGAATGTACTCCACCCCATTCTTATTCTTCTAGTTACTTCAATCTCGTGGTTAGGCTCTGCGGTTATTACCTGCCCTAAGTAGACATAGTCTTTTACAACTTCAAATGGACTATTACCTATCTCGAAGCGCTGCTCCTTTCCGAGGTTGTTGTACATTACTTTCGTTTTCTGCAGATTAATTTCAGACCTGCTTTTCTGCTTTCCATGTCCAGTTCTGTAATTATGAGCTGTAATTCGTCCCCTGAGTTACTCATCTAGGCAATGCCATCAGCGAGTTGCAGGCTACTAAGATACTCTCCATTAACCCTTATCCCTTATTCTTACCAATCCATGGACCGGAAAACTTCCTGTAAACACGCGGTGAATAGCATTGGGGAGATCGTGTCACACCGAGAGCTTTAACTTTATGCTTAACGCACGTTTACAGCATGAACTGCACTTAACACCGCGACTTTCTACGCGTGCTCAAGTGAGCTCAGTTGAGCAAGCTGAAAAAATTTACGAGCTCAGCATTGGTCCGCAAAAAGTTTAGGCACATCCTCGTCAAGTTTCATTATACAAAACGGCCTTTCTACGTTTGCGGGACAATGTATTGAATCCTTCCGCCTTTGGCTACAAATTCGGTGTTTGCGGTTCTATGGAACGGCGAGACACGAACAACGCAAAAAGCGATATCCCTAAGAAACATACTCTCTCGCTAATCCAACCGAAGAGCGAATATTTTTTGTAGCCATAGCCATTCCACGGTGAACCTAGTTTTCCTCGAGTTTCGCTTGACAATTTTTCGCCGTCTGAAGCCGTGTGCCATAAAAATCCTCGAATACGAAGCTGCCTATTATCTTGCGCTGTTTTGCGGCTGGTGCGAAGCTTGTCCGCCATCTTGTCGGCTTCTCGGTTTGTGATAATAAGCGATGCTCGCCTAGCACTATTTGCGATAACCATGGTTAGGAGACTAACTGTTGATAGGCCTGTCATGTATATATCTATAGCTTCTCGTATCCGTGGGTAATTGTAATTTTAGTCAACTTAACCATGGTTGAAGTTGTCCGTGTGTCGGATTTAAGACCTTTGGGAAGAATAATATCCATAACGGCAGAGGATTGTGTGTTGCGATAAGATTAGCATATTTAAAGGAACTGCTAGGCGTTCGCTGACAAAAGCCAGAGGCGATTCAATATAGCTGAAAAATGTCCTTGTGCCGCGGTTAGTATAAAAGTATGTTCCTGATAATTGTGTAAAATAATTACAATAATAACAGCAATGTACATGCTTTAGCCCTGTTATACTTTGTTATGCATAAAATTCAGCGATAAAATTCTACAAGCATGAAGCAAGCTGCTTGAAACATCGTTATAATTATGATTTACTTCCACAAACGACACTTGTATGATGCGAGGAACAAAGAAACTGCTCCACTGAAAATTGCGGCACATGATACTGGGATATTAGCGTTGATATTCAACAACGTTGAAGAAGCTACCAGGTTATGTTGGGTCTAGGAACCCTAGGGACCAAAGGACAACGGAAAAGACGCAACTGTGGTGTCAGCAGTGACGGATCCAGAGGGGTAGGCCGGGGTAGTAAAGGTAAAGCCCCTCTTCTCCTCGAAGTTAGTGTCAGCACCCCTCTTCCCTTCAGGGCTTGCTCCCCCTCCTATCACGGAGTAGGCAAATCAGTGTGACCTTTGTGAGCACAAATGACAGTATTTATTCGTTGGCGGTGTTTCTGTGATGATAGTAAAGCTGCTAAAAAATAAGAGCCCCCCCCCCCTCCCCAAACTCCTTGGTATTACTTCAAGGACCACCCTCTCCCCCCAACGCCCTTAAATGAGTGGCTCGATCCACCCCTGAATACCAAAGGCAGTTTTTCAACTGAAATCATCAACTGAAATGAACTGTCAAATGCCGGGATCTTTGCGAATAGATATTATTTGCTAAAATATATCTATAGCGGCGCACACCGATGTGCCAATGCTCGGTTCTCGTCATTTAAAATATGGCCGCAGCCGAGATTAGACTTCTTGGCATCCGGATCAGTGTGTTCATGCGCTTGTTTGTATATGTACTTGTATACCTATACACATGAGTATTCACAAATTTCGGTAGGACGGGTGATGGTTGTGCCTTCCTTCTGTGTACGTGCATTCTCCGGCCGGTGCCGCGTTATTATTCCTTGCATATTTGCACTACTATATTTTTATCTTGTGACATGCTTTAACTGATTGACCCCTCCCCTGGCCTTTATGTAATGGTGACATGAATTTACGGAATTTTTGGATTTTTACATTAAATAAATGTAACAATTTCAAGAAACCTAAAACTAGAAACTAGCACTCTGGTGTCTGGGAATGCATACATAGAATATATCATGATTACTGCAATCTTTACACACTCTGTTTTGATGTCAAGGGGGTGGCTTCCTAATGACGTGTCTTAGAAGTGTGACGTCACAGGTAGACAATAACTGATGACATACTAACGGCAAACCTGTCGCGGTGCACGTGAACAAAGATGATTGAAATAAGTCCAGTGACCATGAGATATATGCTGCATACAGGACGCAGAGCTAGCAAACTGTCCGGCTTGCACATACCCTGCCACGAAAACATTAAAATCAAATTCAAATATTTTATGCATGTTATCCGACTCTGGTGTTGATAACGTTGACACTGCACACGCTAGAAACTAGAAATGTCCATTCGGCGATGTCTTCCAATCTTAAGGGTCCGATAAGTTATGGTGAATCCGTCACCCCAGTACGTCACTGCAGGGGTTGTGTTGTCTACCGATTCTTTCTCTTCCGCTTCCGGCTGTGCTGTGCTTCTGCCGGTTATTCTTTCTGGTGCTCGACCTCGTCGTCTCTGTCCACTGCTTGACCAGCCCGACAAGTTGGCTTCCCCGCATGGCTCGCGAGAAGGAAGGAAGGTCTGGGTCGCCGGCGGCGAAGGCATTGACCGTCATCCGCGTGACACCGCAAACGCGCTCCCTTTCAAACTCGCCGCTGCGTCGCGCGCTCGCCCAGGAAGTTACCGGTCCGGGTTACGTTCGCCAATCGGAAGCGGCTCGCGACAGCCAATCGCGTAGTCCTGTTCGAAGACGAGGGCGAGGAGGAAACCACCTGTCGGAAAGGAGGTAAGCGCGCCGCGGTTTTTTATAAAACGGGCATCGCCGGCACGGGTCGTGCGGAAAAAACAGGCGCGCGTGGTGTACACACCACCGGAACAGGCGAGGCAGGGAAGCCCACCCTACAGACGCGCGGTGTCGATGAAAAAGGAAGATTGCCTACGCGCAGAACCAATACGAGATGACAATGACTTTAGCCAGTAAGATTCGCGTTTGACGTGTGTGCTTGCAGCGTGAGTGGACGTGTGAAGTGCGGGCAACAGAGCTCGTCAAGGGGAGACGAATTACTCAGCCACGTCACGTGACAGAAGAGAGCAGTGCCGAAACGTCGTCGTCAGCGGCGAAGCGTCGTCAAAGGTTGGTGGCACTTTATATTTTAAAGTACATTGTGACAATTACCAAACGTACGTGGCACCACTGTTTTTCGTTTCGTGCATTCACTTCGTTCCCGTTCTCTCTGCACCATGCCTTCTTTTTTTTTTGAAACAATGAGCCAACTCACAGTAAGTCAACATCAGTAAGTCATTTTACATAGCTTGTTTGCGTTCATTCCATCCATATTTTAATGTGTCAAATTTTGTTGTATGTTAAGCTATCTTTGTCCGAAATGTTTTACCTGTGACCATTTGGCTTCGTTTTATATTACCCAGAGCAATATTATTTACCGCATATATTACTGTAATATTCATTTCTGTATATATTTGCACTCCTTCCTTTTGCCTCGAAATTATTGTAGATCTTTAAAAACGTTTAGACGCATAATCACCTTTGCGCAGTGCCTCTACGGGCCTGTAAAGTACTTTTGAGTGTAGGTAAATGTATAAACTACTGTTATAATCTTTTCCTGTGATCGTAAAGTACATGTAAGTGCAGTTCCACAGTGGTCGATTTGTGCAAGCTTACTATCGTTGCAGGAGTGTGGAGCTAAAATGTGAGACATCCTTGCACAATATGACATCGGGCAAAAGGAGATGATAGTTTCGTTCATGTCGACACCTAAATATATACAGGTGTTTCAAAAGGCACCGCTGAATGCTACGTTGTTTTATTACTACAAATCGCGCACATAAACATTGCAAATAAGTTCGTCCTGCACGCGCTGTGGCAGCATTCTGGTCAGCTCAATCGGTAGAGCGATTGCCATGCAAAAACGTTGGTCGTTGGTTTGATTTCTGAACCAAGACGAATGTTTCGTCCATCAAGCTTTCTTGATGAGAAATTCACATAATTTTCCCCGCAGCTTAGCGCTCAGAGAGAGTGCATTATCATATTTACTTTATGCTGACAGAAGCTGAATTTATAAATAGAATTTTCAAATAATTTTTAAGGCATTACCCACCGTAACCACGATATGACTCTTGCACATAAAATGGAGGTGCCAGGGTTAGTTTCGACGAAATGTTCTTTAAAGTGCATATAAGTCCAGGTGCACGAGTACTTTCTTGCGTTTCACCTCCATCTGAATAGGACCGCCATGGCCGGATTTGAACTCACGTCATTAGGCTTAGCAAAAAAAAAAAAATTAAATGCTCACAATCTGCTCGACGTAAGGGAGAAAACATGCGTATTGAGAAGGTCTTTCGATGTTACTGCTCTCTGGTGTAGTGAGCATTCAAATAAAGAAATTAACGGGAAAGCGAAAATTTGTTATAAACGATATTTCCGTATAAGTGACAGCCTCATATGTTCACTGCACTGCAGGAAGATGCAACGACGCTCGGTCGTCCACTTCCATGTTATTATTTCAAAGTTATAAATGTTCCGTTTTCACAGAAGGGCAACAAAGTTATGGTATAAAACATACACTATGGGTAGTGGATTTGAAAATGGCTGATCTACTTGGGAAAGACTCCGGTGAAAGATTGACCTTCAATCCATCAGCGTTGGTCGGCACAGCCCCTAAGAGACGTTCCGCAAGAAAAAAAAAAAAACGAGAAGAAAACGTGGACAGTCGTTGCCTCTCGGGGGCGCATTGATCACGCGTATAAGCAGCCGATTACTTCGCCTGACGCCGCTTTCTCTGTTCACCGTTTTATTATTATTATCTTTTGCTACCGTGTCACACGAAGACGTACTTCAAGTGAGGATGACTTTCGCCGCTCGCTACCGTGTTTCAAAACCACGAGTCACGTATCTGTCATGTGTCAGCGACAAATGGACGTTCGAGGAAAATTGAGATATCCAGTCTTTTTCGTGTAGCCCCTTCCAAGAAGCTTATGAAACCGCGCCATACACGAGTGTGTGAAGACTGGATAGCAGGGGTTTGCCGAGGAGCTGCGGATATTCGCACTTGGGTATGCAAGATTCCGATCAACAAAATTTAGAATGAAGACTTACGATTCGTAAACTTACGGTTCGAGGCGACTTCATTCTTGCCGATTTGGTGGCACACATTTAAGGGTGACGAACATTTAAGGATGATCGTTTAAGGGCGCTATTGTAGGGTGGCCGATACCATCTTACCAAGGTGTTTAGCATACGCATTTCGGGATTACTGGGGTGCATAGTGTTTTTTTCTTTTTTTTTGCGTATTTGTTTCGCGCTCGCTCATTCTCTAAGTGTCGCTATTTTGAAATCTGGGTGGTGGTTCATTTTTTTTTGTTAGCTCGATAGTTTGCTTGGTTTATTCTGGGTCGCCTCCATAGTGACTTCTCCTTTGCTCAAGCTGCAATGGCTGGACGGCTGTGGCGTTACGCTGCTAAGAAGGCGAGCTAGGTATGGCTTTCCGTTCGAGGCGGCCGCGTTTCGACGGTGGTGAAATGAAAGACCGCTCGTGTGTTTAGATTTGGATCTTTGGAGCGTATGCTTGACCCTGCCAGCTGACAGCTACGGGTAACTCTAAAACTGAGCCAGCGTCTACTGGATTGTGGGACAATCCATTAGGCATGGAACTCCACAGGACGTTCCACAATCGCAAAATCAAACACTAAGAGCTTCATCGCCGGTCAAATTCGGACGCGAAGCTTGCCTGTAATGCATCGGCAACAGGCCCGTAGCCAGCAACTCTTATTTTTCGGGGAAGGAGGGGGGAGGAGAGAGGCTCATTTGTGGAAGAGCTTAGGAAACACCTATTTCTGTTTTTTTTCTCGCGGTAAAATACCCTATTCCATCCAAATTTCAAGGTGGGGGCCTCATCAGCACTAAAGTTTTCGTCTTCGAGTCCTCTCAGTGGTATTGTGTGACACCTTCGATTTCTTCGAAAAAAATAGAAAAACTCGAAGCGCCTTACGCTGCATATAGCAACCGCTATTACCACAGCAGCGCCACTGTCACTTTGCGAGATTCAGGTGATAACGAAATGTCATGTAGCTAGTCCCGTCACATTTTGGCAAGACTAGCCACATGGCACGTGATGCTCACGTGATACCACTGTCCCGTGGTCAGTCAGGTGACTATAGTGTCATGTGGCACCAGTCACGTCACGACCAAGTGCACATAGCATAACCTCGTATTCATAACCTTGCATAATCTCGAAAACACCACGACCGGCTATTGATACCGATCAGTTCCGTTGTGTATGTAGCCTTGCGCCACTGGTGCAAGCTACGCTATTTTTTTTTCTAATTTGAGGAAGTTTGTGCAAACAGGCTTGGTATCTGTGTAGGTGAAAGTGCTTAAAAGAAATCGGACGCCTTGCTCGTTAAGGGCTTATGCTCTGCGTTGACCGATCGTGTTAAAAGCAGTAGCGCGATGAAGAGTGTTAATTTACGCAATTTTTGATGGATCTCTTCTCTATTTAAAATACGAGTAGTAGTGCGCTGGCTGTTGGTTGGCGCCGTGGTTGTAACAAAAAAATAGAAGTAATCGACCTTGGTTTTTTATAGCAGCAGCAGCATCGCGTTCAGCGTAAAAAAAAAAAAAAAGATCGCATCAACAGCAGCGCGAACATTGGTTTAGGTTCGAATGATCCGGTATTGTCTATAAAGCTCTGGTGGAATGCGAGTTAGCGTGTAACGGCACAATAGACAGCCCTTTATATAAGTTCGTGCATATTTCGGTATACGTCTGCGAGTATAGATATGCATGCTAGCTAAAAAAAAAAAAGTGGAACCCTCCTCAAGCGCTCCCTCCACCTGTCTACGCCCGTGCTTTATCTAGCCCACAACCTTTCCAAATAGTGTCAACTCACTTGGTGGCGTATAAACAATGGACGTAGTACCAGAGAGAGAGTAAAAATACACCCTTCGAAGTCGTCATTCTCCTTCCCAGCTGGCGTGCGTGCCGGTTCCTTCAAATAACTCTCCCTCTCCCATTGTTCGCGCTATCTCTCGCAATTACGGACATTCTCCACTGGACGCAATACATGCGGTTCGCGTGCTTGTTCGCGCCGTAGCGTTCTCTCCCGCTGTGCCCGACCTTATACGAGACGAGAGGAGGCAGACGCCTTCAGGGAACCTTCGCAGACCTATAGCTCTCGGCGTGTAAACACCGCTAACGTAATCACTTCCTCCTGAGCTTCGCGGCGTATACGCAGAGCCACGAAGACCACGGCAGGGTTGCCAGCGCCCTGCAGAAAGCCAGAAGGCATCGAGGAGGAATTCACGGGCGACTCGTGCAATCAAAGCTTGCATGCATTCGGGATTATGAAGTAGCAGGATTATTACGCGTGGTTTTACTGCGGCGTAGCATTCCCTTTCCCTTTCTTCTTGTTTTTCTTGAAAACCTTGCGTCGGCCTTTTTTTATATTCTCGGGGCTGCTCAATCGATTCCAGTCATATCGCGTGAGTAAAAAAAAAAAAAAACATCAGCGGCACGCGTATTTCTCAATTTAAGATGCAGATGTGTTAAGCGGGCAATGAAAAACAATTATCAACGTAAAAGCGATGCTTTTGTTGCCTCACCAGTGCCATTGGCTTTGCGAACGTGACCCAAAAAGTAAAAAAAAAGAAAAAAGTAAATAAGAAAAGAAAGATAAAAAGAAAGTTAAGGCAGCTGCCCCACCTGAATGAAGCGCAGAGCTGGACAGCTTCCATTGTTTCTCTTCGTTTTTTTTTCTTTTCTCGTCTATGCCCTTTCTTTCCTTTTTCTCTTCATTTCTGTTTATTTATCTTGCCATTTATATCTTAGTTCTATTTTTTTCCTCTTTTTCTGTTTCGTGCTTTCTTTTTCAGTTTCTATATGCGAGGTTTTGCCTGCGTTACACCATCAAAGCGCTCCCAGAACAAGAGAAAGAAGACTTCTCCTCGACGCGCGCTCAATAAGCTGCGCAGGGAGCGTTACGACGAACTACGACGACAACACACGACACAGCCCCTTCGCACTTGAACAGCGAGCGGGCTCCTCAAATGTGCACCGGTCACAAGCGCACTTGTTGTAGCCGCTTTACAGTAACCGATGCTCCCTCGATCGGGGGTTTC